CCCACTCCTCCCTGCAGACAGCCTCCACATTTCGGCAGGGATATTGGCCCACTCCTCCCTGCAGACAGCCTCCAAATCATTCAGGTTCCCAGGTTGTCGCCTGGCAACTGGAATTTTAAGCTCCCTCCAAAGATTTTTAATTGGATTCAGGTGTGGAGACTGGCTAGGCCACTCCAGAACCTTGATGTGCTTCTTCTTCAGCCACTCTTTCGTTGCCATGGCGATGTGCTTAGGGTCGTCGTGGTGCTGAAACACCCATCCTCCACCCATCTTCAGCTCTCTCACTGAGGGAAGGAGATGTTGGTCCAGAATTCCACGATACATGGCCCTGTCCATCCTCCCCTCATTACGATGTAGTTTTCCCGTCCCCTTGGCTGAACAGCACCCCCAAAGCATGATGTTGCCACCACCATGCTTGACGGTGGGGATGGGGTTCTTTGGGTTGTACTCGGTGTTCTTTGCCCTCCAAACACGACGAGTTGAGTTGAGGCCATAAAGTTCTATTTTGGTCTCATCTGACCACATCACCTTCTTCCAGGCCTCTTCTGAGTCGTCCTGGTGGTGAACGGCGACCTTCATGCGGGCCTGTACATGTTTCTTCTTGAGCAGGGGGACCTTGCGCTGCAGGATTTCAATCCATGACGGCGTAGTGTGTTACCAACCGTTTCTTTTGGAACTGTGGTCCCAGCCGCCTTCAGTTGATTCATCAGTTCCCCCCTTCTGGTTTTGGGATGATTCCTCACCATTCGCATGATCAGGGACACCCCATGAGGCGAGATCTTGTGTGGAAGCCCAGACCGAGGGAGGTTGGCGGTGGTGTGGTGCTTCTTCCATTTCCTGATAGCTGCACCGACAGTTGTTTTCCGATTCTCTTGCAGCCCATCCCAGCCTTGTGCAGATCAACAATCTTGTCCCTGATATCCGTAGAAAGCTTTGGTCTTGCCCATGGTGCTGATGTTGGATGCTGGTTGTTTGGGTGTTGACAGGTGTCTTTTATACAGGTAACAAGGTGAGGCAGGTGTATTTGATGTAGATTATTGGTTGGGATTGGGGCTGCGTCTTAAAGAAAGACTAACTGGCTTGTAGGAGCCAGAATACTTGCTGTTTAGTAGGGGGTCAAATACTTGTTTTTCCTCATCAGATGGTTTCAATTTTAATAAACTCATATGATGTGAATTTCTGGAATTTTCTTTGGGATTCTGTCTCTCACTCTTAGAATGTACATATGATTAAAATTGTAGATTGTTGCATTCTTTGTAAGTGGGCAAACCTGCAAAATCCGCAATGAGTCAAATACTTATTTCCCCCACTGTATTTCAGCTGAAGCTTGATCTGTTTAAATCAGCAGATAAATGATGGAAGGAAAAGCTCTCAAAAACAAGCTGAGGTTTCTAAAATGGCTGAAATGTTGACATGATAAAACGTGTGAAGCTGAACACAGCAATCGGTTGACAGGATCTCTGCCCAGCTCCTAAATCAGCGATTCAGGGCCCGTGGAGCAGAAGACGTAATGTTTAGCTGATTCAGCCCACTGAACCACAGCAGTTTGATGCTGCTAAACTCTCTGGGGAGGAAACTTCACACCGTGTTCATCAGAGATCATCATGGTCATCAGAGCTGAAAGTTCCACAGGATTGTTCCAATAAAGTATTTCACCAGATGAAGTGGAGTAGAAACAACATGAAGACGGTCGTTTTTCTTTGATGAACTCCATGTACACTGGAAGGCCTCTTTACCGTCACCCTAATCCTGTCCACCAGGAAAACAAAAATGGAGAAATGACAAAGATGAATGAAGAAGAAACGGTGGTTAGGAAGAATAAGGTTCTGACCATTTGGTCTGGTTGAAGCGCTCCAGTTAGCCGGTGTAGGTACCAGATCTGCTCGGCTTGTCATATCTGCGCATGCCAATGACATAACGCTATATGATTGGCTGAACATTGCCAAATGATGTAAAACATTGTGGTTGCCTAGACAACGATAACATCAGGCAGCGTCCGTGTGCCGAGTCTGGGGCCGTTTCTCAATATGCGTTCTTGAGCGTTCTCGTGTACTCGTTATACGTCATCAGCCTCAGCCCGAGTGCCGTTCCAATTCTCGAGAACGCATCA